AGGGGGGGTGGGGGGGGGGGGGGAGGTAGCATAAACCAGGCCATAGTGCAGGGGTGGGCAATAATTTTCGCAGGGGGCACTTCATGAATTTTGGTATGTGGTCATGGGCTGGCCCCACAGAAGGGGTAGGGCTTTGGGTGGAAGGGGAGGGGCTGGAGGCTATAGAGAGCGAAAGTGTGTGTGGAAAGGATAGACTTTGTGACACAGATTGAGGGAGCCGTGCAGGTAGCATAAACCAGGCCATAGTGCAGGGGTGGGCAATAATTTTCGCAGGGGGCACTTCATGAATTTTGGTATGTGGTCATGGGCTGGCCCCACAGAAGGGGTAGGGCTTTGGGTGGAAGGGGAGGGGCTGGAGGCTATAGAGAGCGAAAGTGTGTGTGGAAAGGATAGACTTTGTGACACAGATTGAGGGAGCCGTGCAGAGATGGGAGAGTATGTGCGGCAATGTGTGTGTGTATGGCACAGGTACAGCGGCACCAACTGCATGTGTGTGACAGACAGTGACATAGAGTTTGTGTGCCTGGCTGCTGCTGGTTAAGTTTCTGAGAGAAGCCATGTCTGCTGCTCTTTAAGACAGGGAAAGCACTCCTGCTCAGTTGTTGCTCCCCTCTCCTGCTCTGCAGAGATGAGGTATTGGGGGGGGGAAGCCTGTGTGTATGAGAGAGAGAGAGAGAAAGCAGGAGCATTGAAAGCTTAGAAACAGTTCAGTGCCTCTTAAGACAGGCACTTCTCTGAGTCACTTACCATCCATCCATGCTTCAAAGTGAAGCAGTGCTGCTGTGTGTGACTCTCTCCCCAACCCCTGCCCTGCAAAGATGGGGTGCAGGGGCAGGAAGACACCCTGACTTCAGCACTCCCCTCTGCACAGCTAGCAGGAGAATCCTGGGAGCAACTCTGCTGCAGGGTGGAACAAGGTGGGGGAAGGGGCAGCTGACCACAGCAGTTGGCTGTAGGCATGCACCCTCTTCTAAATCAGCTGGGTGTGGGGGAGAGAAATGCTTTGACTGTTGGCTCAGGCCCCTGGGCCTAATTTTTGCTCACCCCTTCCATAGTGACTCAGGTGCTTGTGGCTACTTAAAGTGTTTGTTTTCTTCCACTGCGCAGTTTTTGTTTTTTGCGCAGTTTTTGTTTTATTAATTGTTTATTTGTTTTCTTTACAAAAACAACTGGAACATTCAGCACAAAACTCTCCATTCAAGTAATATTGTTAACATGATAGCTGTAAACAAACCAAACTGTACTACAGTTCCCTTCTCATTGTAACTTTAATTTGGCCACCTTGGCTTTTGGGGAATATTTCCTAGCCTCCTTTCCCAGTTCATTGGGTAGCTCAGTATGTTACTGTTCCTGCTATTAAGTGTATCTCATAAAACATGGCAATTAATTATTTGCATTTCCAGAATATTCAGCATTTTAAGTTGTCATCTAAACATTATACCAGTATGCATTTTGGATTTGGTTAAACAATAGTCCTTAGAGGGAACGTTTCAGCCTCAAAGCCCTGTACATACATTCACTTTTCAGTGTAGTAATTGTTGTATAATACAGAAGTCATCTTAAAATCATACATGTTTGGCCTTAGATAAATAGAGCTTTTCTTCGTATAGGGCCTCATCCAGTGTCCCCTGAAATCATTGGGAGTCTTTTAACTGATTTTAATGGGCTTTGGATCAGATCCAGAGTTCGTTATTTTGAGAAGAATCACCCTATGTGAGGAGTGTAGCATGGATCACTTATTTTACTGGGACAGTGTGTTGACTGTAGAAGGCCTTGTAATGAATATGGAGGTAGCTACTGAGCAATAATGGCTGATTTGTTTGCCCATGAGGGTAGCTTTTATACACCTATTTAATGTTTAGTCATTGCTAAATGTCTAGTTGCATTGCTATGGCAATATCTACTCTCAAAAGCTTTCAGTAAACAGAAAGTGTTACCAATGTCTCACCTCACAGCTTCACGGTAGCTGGTGACATCAGCACTAGTTGATGATGAGGAATGAGCTCATAAACAGGACCAGATCAGTATTTCTGGCTGCCTCCGCTCCACCAGTCCAGTCTAGTTACTGCACTCACATCCACACAAGTGTGCTGAGGTTCCTGTGTGGAATTTTTGCCTGAGACTCCTGACGAACTGCATAGCTAAGGGTAGGACTCGGGGTTTGTGATTCCAGAACAATTGAGTGCCATGGAGGAGAGTCTTATGTCATTGGGCCCATCAGAGTCCACGGAGACTGAGGTATTTTTTGTAAGGGGCTAGTATCCTTGTCTCCCTTGACTCCTGATCTCAGCCTGATCCTTTATAGTGTTCTTTTGAAAACATTAGGCTACCTGATTCTGTTCATAGACTATTTTAGAATTATTTCCTTTTTAAATTCACCCTCCATGCATTCTTCAGATTCCTTCTTAAACAGGGCTGGCCCACAACATTTTGGCACCTGAGGCGGGGAGCTCAAATGACGCTCCCATGCCCCCTCGCTTGGGCCAAAACTTTGAAAGGTCTCAATTCTGCCTTCTTCCTGTTCTGCTCCTCTCATGGTACTGCTCTGCTACCTACATATGCACCAGCAGCAGACACAATTTTCTACACTCTTGGTCCTAGGGGCGCCCCTCCCCCCCAGTCTGGCACCTGAGGCTGCCACCTCAGTTAGCCTCATGGTAAGGCCAGCCCTGTTCTTAAAGCTTCCTTCTTCCAAGAATCTCAGGGTATGACAGCAAAGATATTTCGAAATAACAGCCATTATTTCAAAATAACTTTCCTAGCATCTACGCAAGCCAACTGCTATTTCGAAATTGATTCGAAATAGCGGAGGGCTTATTTCAAAATTGGTAAACCTCATTCCACGAGGAATAGTGCCAATTTCAAAATTGCTATTTCGAAATAAGCGCTGTGTAGACGTTATTTCCAAATAGACCTCCAGCCCTTCTCAGGGTGCCCTGCTGGTCGCCCTGGCAACAAGGTAACTTCTGACCTGATGCCCTTCCCGACCCATTTCCGGCTGGCCTTAAATGCAATTCAGCTTCTAATCAGTGTGAACGCACTATTTTGAAATAGTAAAAAGCTATTTCGAAATACATTTTGTGTGTAGACACGTTATTTCAAAATAACATATTTCGAAATAATGCTGTAGTGTAGACATACCCTCGGATACTAACCCAGAGGTGGGCAATAAAATGGTAGCGGTTCACCAGGGTTAGCCCGGGCGGGCCACTGTCACTCTATTTACCTGCACCCCTGCAGGTATGGGTGATTACAGCTCCCATCGGCTGGGAATGATGATCTGCAGCCAACAGGAGCTGCAATCGCCCGTACCTGCGAAGGCACAGGTAAATACAGCTGTGTGAGGGCCTGCCATGGGCTGACCCTGGCGGACTGGATCCAGCCCGTGGGCCAGCATTTTCCTTCCCTTGTACTAACCCATCTCTGAAAAGTTTAGCTCACAGTTGGATGGGGGGCGAGGCTCAGGAATCGTTAAGCACTCGAGTGAAGATCAGTGCAGGATCAAGGCCTTTGGGCCTCCAGCTGTGTTCACAGGGTGCCCAGGTATTGGATTGTGTCTTCCTTTGTATCTTGTGTGGAGTTGAGTCTATTGCTAACACCCTTACAAATAAATGGTAACAATAATGTTTCATTTTCTATTTCCAAAACCTCTTTTCTCTATAAAAGGGTCCAAACATTGGGATGTTTGAAATCTTCAGCCATATGCCAAGGTCCCTGCCCTGAACGCTGTGGATACCATCTGTGTATTTTACAGTTCTGAGGATGCTCTTGCTCATTAATTACAAAGACTAAAATTCTCCAGGGTTGAAATTCTGCTTCCTGAATTAAGACCGGCCCTCCACGCCACTCTTATTCACTTTTATAAGGAAAGATCCAAAGACTTCTCCCTGAGAGGTAGAGGCAGAGCCCTGGCAGATTCCAGCAGTCTGTGCCTATAAAAACTATAATTCCAATTGGAAGGAGGACGGTCTAGCCATATATGTTGGTACTTAAAGCTTTCTGTGTGGATTCCACAGCGTAACAAGAATTGATTTTATAATAGCAGCACAGTTACTGTCTGCCATTCTATTTTGTATAGCCTTCTACTTGCTATTCTGTGGAAGGAAACTCTGTTAAGAATCACTCGAATAATAACAGTAAAAAACTTCAAATAGGAAAAAGGTATGGTCGGGGCAGATGGCATAGAGTTTGCAGATCACAAATTCTAATCCCAGCTCAGAGAGCTCCTTGTGGCCTTCGGGAATATGAGAATAATACTGTTCTGAAGGGTCTAGAGTAGTCTGTGAAGCTTGGTGAATCTGAAAAGAACTAAATATTATAATCTCAGTAAGGAAGATATTTTACACACACACCACCATTTTTGTATCAATAAAAATAATGGCATGCTCTTGTGCTAAGTGAAGGATTGGAAGCACCATGCCCAGCTGCTGGGAGGGTAGGGAACATCTTTTCAGTTTGGCTTTTCAGAGATCAGGGACGTGCCCAATGTGGTTTTGGGTTTCTGTTCCTAGATGATGTCCCTGTCGTGTTTCTATAACCCTCACCATGGTTCCTTGATGCATGCCACCGGCCATGCAGAAGTGTGGACAGACTGGAACAGCACTTCCAAGTTCAGTCAGTATGGCTGGAGATGCACCACCAATGAGGACGCTTACTCCAACAAAACCCTTCTGGGGAACTGGAACCAGGAGCGGTATGATATCCGGAAAATCTCACAGCCCAAACCGCTTCCTTCCCAGGTACAAACTTTGTTCTTCCAGTCCTTTCTAGTGGCCTCTACAAGTGAAATAGCGGATACTGTCAGAATTTCCATCTGTACAGTTTCTTTCATTCACTGTATGCCCTACGCCAGTGGTCACCAACCAGTCGATCGGGATCTACTGGTAGATCTTGGAGCCTCTGACAGGTGATCCTGACTGGTTCAGCCAAGAGGCTGTCAAGTGCCAACACGTAGCTGCCTTTCCCCGCACTACTGCGCAGCTCCTGCCCTTTGCCTTGGAGCTGTCCCCTCAGGAGTCTCCTGCTTCTGGGCAAGAGAGGGAGAGGAGGATGCTGATGTCAGGGTGCTCTCCCTCCCACTCTGTATCCTATTTCCACAGAGCAGAGAGGGGACACAACAGGGCTTGGGATGGAGGGAGTTTGCTGGCTGCTTTTGGGAGTGGTGCAGGGCCAGGGCAAGGGTGAGCCTGCCTTAGCCCCACTGCACTGCCAACCAGGAGCCACCTGTGGTCAGCAGGGCCCAGTCAGAGCCCACATCCCAAAACCCTACCCCAGTCGTGCACTCCCTCATATACCCCAAGTCCCTGCCCTTGCTTCAAGCACCCCTGCATCCCAACACCCTCCCAGAGCCTGTACTTAGCATCCCTCCTGCACCCCAACTGCCTGCCCCAAGCTCAGAGCCCCTCTCGCACTCCAGATCCCTTAATCCAAGACCAGAGTCTGCACCTCAGCCCCAGCCTGATGAAAGTGAGGGAGGATGGGGGAAGAAGGGAGGATGGAGTGAGCCGGGATGGGGCCTCGGAGACAGAGCACAAAGGAGGTGGGACGAGGGTATTTGGGTGCGAGGAAGATCTTCGATTGCACTTCAATTCAAAAAGTGATCTCATGCTTAAAAAGCTTGGAGACCACTGCCCTATGCTGAACCTATTAGCAGGGAGCAAGAATTTGAGAAATTCCCTTTGTTCCCTAACACCCAACCTCTAATCCATCCCTAAAAAGGCCCAGACTCACTCAACTCTCAGTCCTTTGACCATTCTCAGCTCCATTCACCTCATTTTCACTTGGCTCCTGCTGTTCTTTCCTTTGTTGTTAATGTCCTGTCCCTAAGGAGTGACTTAAGGGCTGTTCTCCAACTGTTCTCCCTCCTCTCCTGGTTAATCCAGGGTATTGGTGTCAGCAGGGCTGTTTAACCACAAAGTTACTGTGCAAATTCTGCCCTTCAGTTACTACTCAACAGAGCCATTGCAGTCATTTTGTGTCATGGTCGGAGCCACTCATAACTCAGCAATGTTTCCCAGGCCAGAGCTCTGCCTAGTTGGGACTTGTGGGTCTTCCCCCTCAGCATATCACTGGACTCCTTGGCATTCACATGACCCAAGCTACAGGCATGTCAGTTGTGCAGTGGCCTGACATTACCCAGAAGAGGTACTGTATTATGATTTCAGATGCTTTAGTGAGACGGCTATTCCTTTAACTGATTGACAAACAGCATGGGTTTGTTTGTTTTTTAGATGTTTGTTTATTTGTTTTGCAGCACTAAACATGGGCTTTTCTTTTCAGTATGATCACTACTTTGAATCCATATATTCGTCAGATTACAACAAGGACAGGCATCACGGCTCAAGAAGTAGGTGCACAGAACTACAGTGTAGTCAGTTTGATCTGTACAGTAGCTTAAAAGATGTTTTTAAATGACAGTCACGTGCACAGGGAAGAAAAAAAGAGTTTCACTCGCTGTTGAGTCATGCCCCTCGATTTAAATGGGAGCTCATATTTCCAGTCCCCCCGGGTCTGTGGTGTTTGTATTTCAGGTGCTCGCTTTATAGTCTTCAGACCGAGGCTAAAGTTCCTCATCCAAGTTAAATGTGCTGCTTTTAGTCCAGAATCCTTGTTGTTGCTCCTAGCTTTCTTTCTAGACACTTACAAACATCTTTGCAGAAGACAGCTCATGCCCCGGTTCAGTCTCATTTTCTGATTGTGATTGAAGGCTATGAAGATGTATCGCTCCAGTTAGGGACATTTTGCTAAACTCTCACCATTCACATGATGTTGTAGAAGGGACTAGAGGAGTGTTTGTATGGGTAAACCTTTTTAAAGCAGAACATGCTTTCAGTATCATCAGATTAAAGCATAATGGATAAAAATAATGACATTATGGGCCACATACCCTTTTGGGAGAGATGTGGGTTGGGAACTGGATTTACAAGAACAGATCAAATCACAACTCTATCTAGTCTAGTTCCTGCCTCCTGTGTGTGTCAGAACACATCTGGCCTGTAGTACCCAATCTGTGGTCCCATCAAACCAAACCATAATTCTGTCTACTCTTATGTCCCATCTTTGTCCATGGCCAATACCTGATGCTTCAGAATAAGGTGGGAAAGCTCCATAATACACCTGTAAAACTGGCAGTGTTTAAAGAGCTGTTGAGTGGATTATTTGGCTTTCCTGTCCTAGGCTGGGATAGCACTTAGGTGTTTTCAAAATCTTATGCCGATAAAGCAGTGTTTCCAGGAATAATGAGAAAACCCAAGTGGCCAAGAGTGCATAATATATGGTTGTGTCTTGCACTGCCTTCCCTGCAACCCGTGTTCAGCTTCACTATAGGCTGGTAGAGGTTGGGTCTGCCTTGAGTATCTCACAATAGCCTTCTCATTGCTTTGCCTTTAACTCATCTCTTTTCTCCTCTCTGCTTTCAGGATTTAAACGAGAACCTCATTGGTTTCCTGGACACCAGCCTGAGCTGGAACCCCCTCCATTCAAACCGACTGCACGGTCCCGCTACATGATAGATTACGAACCTCCTCAAGGCAGAACAGGAGGCAGAATTTGTGAAATGCTTGGGAAAGAACTGCAGGGGGCGCAGCAGAAGCAATAGGAGAGAGGCTGTTAACTTGAGATCTGCCACGTGACTAGAACGACTCCAACAACCTATGTGCTTCTAAGGAGCCATCCTTCAAGTCACAAAACATTTCTGATATTAAAACATAGCATTGAAATGACAAGTAAATGCTTTCCGAGGCTTGTGCCCTATTGATTGTCATTCTGTATGTTATTTCTGCCTTCTGGCATTTTAATTTTTACTTGGTACAGAGGACTCTGACATGGGTTCCTGCGACATCATACCAAGACAAAAGGACCCAAGAATGTTTTAAATATGCAACCAGGTGTTGTCAGCAAGTGGACACTTATAAACGTGACTAGTTATTTTTTCACAAAATCTGATTAATTTAATTTTAATTTTGTTTCTATCCCCATAAGGCCCAAGGGAATGTCACATTTGACATCGAAATCTATCACTTCTGAAATGTTTTTGTGTGTTTAGTGAGGCGAAGATAATGAACTATCTGAGAAAATGAACTTTAGGCCGTAATAGAAATGTCACCACTCACACATCACAGGACAAATCTGCACGTGGCAATTCTCTGCATTCCGCTCTGTGCTAGAGTTACAGACTAAGGCGGATCAATGCTACCGCTGTTTTCCTTTTGCCAGCATCCCTCAGGGTTGAGCTGCTAGTGGCAATTGAGTAAAACTCTAAGCATTTTGTATCACTGTACAATCAGCTGAACATTTTATACATCAGCTGCTATTTATTGTTTGAAGGGCAGTGGCTGCATAGTTTCAGAGTGATGTGATTTGTACCATGAGAGCAGGACATTTCTCTCTGCTGTTGCTGTAACTGTGTTTACAGCAGCTTTGCCATTGTAACCTGTGTCTGCTCTGAATTAATTGCTGCCTTTGGACATTATTCACAATGCGTGCTATTATGGAGGTTTCAGATACAGTTTTCCTGCCTTAAGTGTTAGCTAATGCCCATAACTAGAGTGGGTTGAGACCATCCTGGAGTTTTCAAACCAATTCAATTAATTTCCCCAGAATGACTTTTCTGATGCTTGTAAGACATAATTAGGAGGAATCTGGGACTTGGGGAGGTCTGTTCCAGACAGAAATAGTGTGGAAAAATCAATCATGCAACCAAGGTGGTGGCAAAATATTCCTGCATATAAAGTGAAACCAGCAATGTAATGTGTTCCTTAGTGCCTCAGGTTGGGGGAGACTTTGGTTTCATAAAAGCCTAATGTAGTCTGAGCCCTGCAATGCTCCATCCTTGAGCCTTGTATCCATCCATCTTCACCCTGCCAGAAACGGGCAGTGCCGGTGGGGTTCAAAGTAAACTCCTGTCCTCTCTGAAACTCGCAGCTTGCAAAGTGCTCTAGAGGCAGCTCTTCTTAGCTTCCCCACTACCTGTGTGCCTCAGAGAGGGAAGAGAATGGGAGTGTGGGGCCATTGTGGGAGGTTCAATCGTTACCCTCCCAAGCCTGCATCCAATACACAAGCTACTGAGGGGTCCTGAGAGAGGCTTTACTGCTCGGTTCCAGGTCTCCAGACTCTGCAGAAGGAAGATTCACTTAAGTCCCAGTAAGCACAGCAATCCCTTGGGCCTAGCCTAGAGCAGGGGACTGATGTGCTTGTGTTTCATGCAGCTGTGTCCAGTCACCCTACCAACACCATTGTGCTACTCATATATGTGAGCATGTAATACTGCATCTTGCCATTTTCAGCTCTCTGGATTTATTATTCAGGGATCAAATCCTTCAGTTCTTACTGAGTCAAATCTGCCACTCAGGTCAAGGGTGCCGCAAACATCAAATAAAATCTTTAGGATTTGGCAACAGAGGTATATGAAGAAATTTTAGAGCTGACTTGGCTATGGGGATCACAATAGACTAGAGGGCCTGTCTAAATCAGGATATGTGTGCTGCTTCCTACAGACTGGATACAAATCATATCTTAGATTGTAAGCTGCTTGGGGCAGGCACCATCTTTTGGGTTCTGTGTTTGTATTGCCCCTAGCACAGTGGATGTCTAGTGCATGATGGGCTTCTAGATATTACCACAGTACAAATAACAATAGCATGCATGTACACTAGAGCATGGGTTCCCAAACTGGGGCATGTGCCCCCTTGGGGGGGTCTGAAGAAATTCCAGGGGGAGTGTGAGGCGACCTACCCCATCTGTCAGAGCCCCCCCGCCCCCACAAGCTCTGCTGCTATTTGGGGGGGGGGGAAGCGTGAGGGTTTCTAAAATATCAAAAAAGGGGGCATGATGCCGAAAAGTTTGGGAACCACTGAGGCACAGTCTTACCAAGCTTTTCTATACTAGCAGTGACGCCACATCCAAGTCAAAGACAAAACCACAGGATGCTTATTTATGTTTTATTTGTTAGCAAATGAGCTTGTTCTCTCTCCTTAGCATAAATAAATAAGTATGGCCAGTCAGTACAGCGTGTGCTGCTTGCATCCAATGGAAAGGTTTTCCTGGATGGAAAAGTCGGTTTCAAACAGCTTCCTACTTCCTCTGGGCCCCTGCGATGGCAGATTTCTCCTCGCGGGTGATGGGAATGGTGCGCTCGGGAACATCACTTTGTTTTCTTGGTCCATTCACTGTCAGGACACCATCCGAAGACAGGGATGAGGTGATGGACAGGGGATCCACATCCGCTGGGATCCTGTACTTCCTATTGAACTCCCTGGCAACGAAGCCATGCTCATCCTTATCGGAAGGAAGGAAAATAACAGCCTAGGTTTGGTAGGCCAACTCCATTCCAATTAATAACATCCCCTCCCCCGGGAGCTGAGGTCAAGTTTGGGAATCTCCCGCCCCAAAGGAAAAAGTTTCAGAAAGTTCGGAACATCCCCATCTCGGGACACCTTGGCAAAGCAGCGGGGTTAAGCTGAATTCAGACACTGCATGGTGCTGTCCAGGCTTAAGCTGGACGCAGGCTTAAGAACCTTGTAAGCTTCATTTCCTGGTGGGGCTTCCCAACCTCATTTAATCACATTGCCCTTATTAGTCCGAGTTCTACTGTCGTGCCATAAAACGTTCCAGGCAGAGCAGTGACTGGTACCATTCCCCAGGGTCTGTGTATATTACAATGCACAGATTCCTAATCATCTGATCTCCAGTACAGCTCTCAGTTGCTGCTGGGGAGTTTTGACTTCACCCTCCTCCCAACTGTTGCATAGGTATTAACTATTAAGGGCCATATCTCAGTGGAGACTGCACTTAGGTCACCAAGGGCAGAATTTGACCCTTTGGCTACGTCTAGACTGGCATGATTTTCCGGAAATGCTTTTAACGGAAAAGTTTTCCGTTAAAAGCATTTTCGGAACAGAGCATCTAGATTGGCACGGACGCTTGTCCGCAAAAGCACTTTTTGCGGAAAAGCGTCTGTGCCAATCTAGACGCGCTTTTCCGCAAAAAAGCCCTGATTGCCATTTTCGCGATCAGGGCTTTTTTGCGGAAAACAAATCTGAGCTGTCTACACTGGCCCTGTTGCGCAAAAGGGACTTTTGCCAGAACAGGAGCAGACTTCCTTTCTTACAGTAGGAAGTCAGCGCTTTTGCGGAAATTCAAGCAGCCAGTGTAGACAACTGGCAAGTTTTTCCGGAAAAGCAGCTGATTTTCTGGAAAAACTGGCCAGTCTAGACACAGCCTTTGAGTGTACAAGCTACAGTTATAGGGCTTTGTCAGAGTAACATTCTGAATAGCAACATCATTTGGTTTAATTATTAACTATTCTGTTCCTTATTACCTGATTTGATATTCATTAATTAATCTCCAAACTGGTGCTTTCTTATCCTTGTCCTCTTGGCCCCTTTCCCAACAAGAGAGAGGTTCAGAAATGCTCATTTGATGATTGTTTTCCCCTAGCAATAGCCTCTGCCTTGATGTTGCCCATCTGTGATAGGTCAGGGGGCTGCACTCAGCATCTTCGTTAGGATAAATGATTAATTAAAGTGAACAGAAGTTATTTCAGAGACTCAAGCACCAAGGCAGTTTTGCCATCTTGTGGGATCCTTGCGTGACAGAAACGGGGCAATTCAGACTTTGCCAGAGTGGATATACCTGGCGCTCCTCGTGTTTCCCATGGACCTCGATCACATCCCCCAACACCTTGACTTTCAGCTCCTCAGGAGAGAAATGTTTCACGTCGACATTTACGGAAAACTTGTCCTTCTCCAGTCGCATCTGCAAACCAAGGGGCTGGTTAGAAAAGAGCAGCTCCAATGCCGGCTGGAGGTGCCACCCGGCACCCAGGCAGGTCAAGAGAAAAGTGCCTATCAATTTTAATGATGAAGGACCAAACCCTAGAGTAGGAGGCCATTGTCCAACATGCCCTGCCCCGAAGGACTGTTTAAAGGCAGCAGGAGTTGTCTAATTCATGGGTTCCCAAACTGGGGGGCGTGCCCCTGGGGGGGGGGCGAGAGGAGACCCAGCCCCCCCAAGTTTTGCTGCTATTTTTGTTTTTCACCCTCTCAACAAGTTTTGCTGCTATTCGGGGGGAGGGAGGGGTGAAGGTTTCTTAAAAATCAAAAAGGGGGTGTGACGCTGAAAAGTTTGGGAAGAACCACTGGAGAACCACTGGCCTAATTAGTTTCAGTCCATGCCAGGTTGTCTTTGTCTGCCTAGGTTTCTTTATTGTTGCCCATCACTGTAGTATCTGAGCACCTATGTCTTGTCTTGACTAGCAGAGGATAAATACTTTCTTGTGGAGTGTGAAAGGGGCACACTGTTGACTTGGACTTTTAGGAATTGATCAACAACTTTGCATTTGACCAATTGTTATTAGTTGATATTGTTTGTTTGTAATTCCTTTTGCGGAATTATTTGGAATGATTATTATTACTTTCTGCTCCCTTTCTGGATATTTACAGGGATCTTGTCAGTGATAGAGTGTATTTTCGTATAGTTCAGTTCACATTTTCTCCTGCATCGTCAGAGCCTTGACTGATCTAACGAAGGTGTCATTGGCAAATTTTGCCATGAAGGATTCACCTGCTCTTTTCTAGATCATAGATAAATACATTAAACAGTATTTTTTCCTGGTATGAAACACTGAGTCACACCCTGCTAATCTTTTGCCTTATTTCCTTTACCAGGTGGAGTAAGTATCTCATTCTATTGGATGCCCCAGGCAGGTTTTCCATTTCTGATGTGTACCTGTTTGACTTGAATAACCT